CTCTCCGTTATGTAATTCACTTGGTCTTCTATAACATAATCAGAAAGTTTTCAAATTTTGAAAAATGTAATTGGCATCTTTTAACTTCTGAAGCTGTTGGCAAACGAATAAGAAGACTGAAAATCATCACTTAAATTATTAACACATATTTTACGAACTTCGGAGAGAAAATAACTCAAATTGTTATTCGGCTAAAAAACTTACAACAATAATCTCAGCTAAACATTTCGTCAACTAACAACTTTCGTTAATCGACGATTTATAATTGAATCAGAGAGGACACACATGCGTATAAATAAATATAACGCATTTATCATGCAGCTATACGTGGATCATGAAACGAAGGCGACACATGTGTAAAACTGCTTCGAATTAAGTATACAAGTATACAACTATTATTAATGATTTGAAATTAACAATATTTTATGTATTCATAATTATAATTCAACTCTAACTAAATAAGACATATTACATTACAAATCGCTAACGAAAACTAACGATTATAATTTTATGACGAAATAATTGAATGTGCGCACAGAAAACTTTCAGAACATATAGCTAATTAAAATTTGGCTTATCGTTGTAATCATTTTCAAACAATATGGTTGACTGCAAACTCTCGACTTTCATATATATTATAATCGAATAATAAATGCCCTGATCTTATTGTTAACTGTGTATTTCTCTCCAACGTACCCATACATATTATACGAAACTCGGAGGTATTTTTGACTAGGCACTAAAAATAATCTACTTTTAAAAAGTAGAGTATTCATAAAGTTATTTTTAAAAAATCCTAAAAAAAAATAGACGTCTTCTTTACAATCCCGAAGTCGAATACTGGAAAAATAATGACAGTGTAACTACGATATCGTACGTCATTTTGGAGAACTCAGTTTTCGCCTTAAAATGAATTACCCTGACAGTTGTATTTCCTTTAAAAATGAATTACGAGTATTAATAAATTGTATTTATTTTACTAAGACATCATATTTAGTACAATATGTATTTTTTCTAGTAAACCGTTTATGGTAGAAGTCCAAAAATAATAGACATATTTACTGTAGAATTAAAACATTTAGACATTTAGACGGTGCAGCTATAGTATACGAATTCGTAGATCTTCTTAGATACATTTTTTTTAAATAATCATGGCCAACAAGTACATGCGTTAATTTTAATTTACTGTGTTCCGGTATGACGTATTTTATTGATACATAACAATCGCAATAATTATTTCAGCCATTAAAATGGTTTTATAATGTCATATATCCTATGGTTAATGGAAAACTGTACACTATATAATATAACTGTACATTTTAATTAAACTACAGTAAAAAAACTTAGTTCATAGATAGCTACTAATTATTATGCTTTTAAAGTCAATTATGATAATTTTGTATAGTGCTACAGTGTATAGTATTGATTTAAAGGTTTTATTCAAATAATTTATGCATGCAAATCACAAAGCATAAAAGTTCGATCGTTATTTCTAGGTCTTCTGAAATTTTGTTAACATACACCTCATCAAATTTAAACATTACTTATTATGATAATCATGAAAATATAATTCATGAAAACTGCTTAGTAATTAGTATATATCATAATATTATGACGAATAATATAACTTAATATAATTATTTAATGTTATAATCTTCATATTACGGATACCTACTGTGCACTCTGCAGTGCGCAGTAAGTACAGCTCAGTCTTCTAATTTATTATTATTATTATTATTATTATTATTATTGTTATCACTCGTAATTGAGAAACTTACCTAATAAACTAACTACGCGTATTTCACATATTATGCATGAATAATATTTTATACAGGCAAAATCCTTTGTTATTAAATATATAATCCCAATTGTCTTTGTGCCTAATAATAGGTATGTTATGAGGACTAATATAATTATTCAATTATACATAATACTTCGGGGCTTATTTAACCATATTAATTTACTCGAAACGTAAGTTATACAGGTACGTTTTCGTGTGTCTTTGTGTGATTTTTGTGAACTACGAGTGTATACTGTACACTTACAGTTCTAAATTCAAATGATAAATAATATTCATAGTGAATAAAATCAAACGAATAACAATATTGGTTTTAGTTAAATACCACAAACACCTGTGTAAGAAAAATATTGTATGTTATTTTACGATGTAAAACTGTCAAGTACCTACACCATAATATTGCCGGTACTCTATAAGTCTATAACCTACTCCACACAGATTATAGTCTACTTAATAGAAACAAAAAAATAATTTCCAATTTTTCTAGACGGCTGGTGCAAGTTCGTCACGGTACACGAACCAATAATGCGGTTTGTTTTTCGTCTGACTTTTCGAAAGAAAATCGTCGGAAAAGCGTCTACGGTGAGGCCTGCGTCTACTACAGCAGAAGTGAAATGGCCCAACTAAATGATTTTGATGGCAAAATTAATGCTCTAATAAACCGAACGATCCGGAGCCGCGAACCGTGTGCATGAAGACGATTCAACAATCACTGTTCCGCTCTACCGTACAAAGCCTAAAACATCACTATTGTCATCGACTCCCGTGGCTGTCTTTTTTTTTTTTTGAACATGATTTTTATTTTCACGATTTTTTTCATCGTGTTAATGTCGCCACATTGTGTTAGCTATTTTTTCTTTTTTATCTCAAACCATCGACGTCACCCCTACTTATCAACATTGTTATAACCAATAATGAACAATTATTAAACAGAGTAGGTATTATTTGTTTTTTTTAAATACAAAAACAACATTATAAGAACATCAACACTTTTGCAGTCGTTTAATTATTTTTTTTTTCTCTAATTTTGTTTTCCAACAAAAATATTACGATGGTAACATAATAATATTTTTTAAAAAACTCCTAAGAAATTATAAGTTGAAATTTTGGCTAAGTTGTCCTATGTAGTAACATATTTTATTTTTGATTAAATCACATTTTGACAATAAAATATGTACGATGTGTTTTAAATCTCATAAATGTATACAAACACCCTACATTTGTGGTTTATATATTATAGTTATTAAACTTGATCAATAAATATAAAATAAAATACGCACAATCACTTATCAAACTACATTCACTGTTAAAATTTAAAACAATATTTAGTTCTCTTATCACTATCAATTCCTGCATATTAGATACAATTTAAACATAAATGTCTCTTAATTTTTATTAAAATTATGTATGTGCCGAGTGCTGACTGTGATAATATGATATACGTGTGTCTAAACGAGATTATACAGTTTTTCATATTATAATAAAATTATTTTTAACATGAAACTATATCATCTATAGACTCATAAGATTAGTTAAACTTGCTTGTACCTATATTATATTTCATCTATAGTTCTAATGATCTATAGCGAATTAAAAATTATAACATTAAATATACACATCGAGTATAAATAATAGTTATTAACCGCACACTATAAAAACAAACTCATGGCATTATATTATGTAAACAGAAGCTTTGCGGTCATTTTTCACTCATGTATCAAAAATAATATTAATTATGTTTATTTGAATTTTGGCAGCAGTCAACGACAATATAACAACAAATGAACAAACACAAAACGACGCCAACAGTTCATTGGCGTCTCAGATCAAAATTGTAGCTGAATAAACGTTTTTCCTCCAGTGCATGTAATACTTTTTAATAAAAAAAAAAACTTGACAGTTGACATAAAATATTGTGTATGTACATATATAATATTGTTTTACATAAATAAAATCTTCTTATAATTTTTTTTTCACTATAGATACATACAACTATAGTTCTATTGGAGCTCAGAGAGATGATCTCCTTGTGAATGTTCCTATTAATATAATAACAGAACGCTCGGCATAGTATAATATAATATAACAATAATAATATCTTATTTGGTAGTACAAACGCTTACGGCTTACCATCTTACCGTTGAAAAACGAGCGCCATAAGGTGACCATACGGTTGATATAATAATATGTTGATTGGAGTTCCATCATGACCATTGACCATCAAGCGGAGACACTAGAAAACTTTTTTATTTCCACGACTATTGCAGTGGAAACGCAAAAGACTCGACTGCATCCAAATCTAAGATTTCAGCACAAGGTATCGTATATCTCTTCATAAATCGTCACTATTTGAATCGATTTATTGATAAATATAAAAATGATAGTTGTGAGCCATTAGAATCACGTCGAAAACCTAAAGCAGTTGCTGATCGTTCGCCACTGTCGTAGCTGTGACATTGTCTCTCGCCCTCCATGAAGCGTTTTATTATTTTATTTTTTTATCAGCATATATTATTATAAGACAAAACTTGAACGATTCAACGAGTATATTTATTCCCAATACTGAAATTTCATTTTCAACATGGAAATCATCCAGCTCGTTTTTTCGAATAAATCAAATAGTTTATATTATATATTATAAGCGTATGTCTATAATGAACATGAGGTACATTTATGATTTATACACATATTATGAGTATATTATCTTACTGGTGCACTTAAGATAAAATATAACAATAGGTATTAGGTAATATTATATAATTGATTAATCATTAATTACATAATATTTCGTGTACACGCATGCACGTAACAATAATCTAATCAAACATTTATCTTCTGCCATCTTCACGTAGGTATAAAATATTTCATTGATAAAAAATAATAATGATAAATAAATAACCACAATAATATCATATAAATACAAAGTATATTATATTACGAACAAATAATAGTGTATTCGCACACAGATATAAATCCGTAATAAATTAATTAGGTATCAAAACTATAGTGTCTACTAAATTAAAAAAAAAAACATTGTTTAATTAATAACTGAGAATTGAACATTTTATGATTGAGGAAAAGTTGTCATAATATTATAGTGATAATATTACCTACAGTTAAATATTCGTTAGGAATAATTAATGTTAACGACACAGTTCTATTGTAGGTACCTACTCTGATAACAACAATAAAATAGCTTAAATTTTAAATGATTTAGTTCTCTCCTGCTGACATCAACATATTATCATTATTATTACTAGGTATTTCAACAATAAAATATAATATTATTATACTTAAACGTATAACAGTGTTATTTTTTAGACGCTATTAGCATCATAAATTATTATTATTATGGAAACACATTATACTATTTTAAACGAAATTGTTTATTTTATTTTCATTGTTAAGCATACTCCAGTTTACGAAAATGTGATATGATATTACGATTTATTATGATAATAACACTTAATTAATATGAAAATCAGAACGTCGACGGGAAATCACAATGTTATAATAATATGTACCACCCACATAATATTCTCTTCGTCGGTACATGTAACGAGTAGTAAGTGAATACAATTTTATCTGCATAAAATTAACACATAAGTCGTAATATTATGTTATATTATCCACACACGACGCTCGCACAGTTATCTTGGCTCGTTGCGTTAGGCTTCAGGCAAACTGCAGTGCTCTTCCTTCAAAAAACCTAAACATGGAAATATTAAAATTAGTGGAGGACGAATAATTATTAATTATTAATGGATATTAGGCATGGAGTTCATATAATATTGTGGCCCAGTGTGGCACGGTGGTTGGCTTCGGTCACGAAAACGCGACCTCAAGTCAGGCATTAGCCTCGCGGTGACACTAATTCCCGGATGGGTGACCGCTGATCATCCGGGTTCGAGTGACTATTCCTCACTACATTTACACACATGGGCGTAGGTAAGGGGGGGTTTTGGGTGTTCAAACACCCCCCGAAATTAAATAAAACAATTTATTCCAGAATATTATTAACTCGCATATTATTTAGGATTTAGACAAAAACCCCCTCCGAAAATATTTCCTACCTACGCCCATGTTTACACACGTATTCTGACCAACCGTACCCTCTACCACAGTTCAAAAAAACCTACCACCCAATGGCCTATGTTGCAAAGAGTTAATTGATAAAAAAAATTATTTATTTATTATAACGCCATTTCTCTTGAAGACGTGGAAGAAATAGGATAGGTAAATATTATAATATTAGGTACCTCTTCGTATATATTCAATACTATTGTGCCGTATGTATATAGATATTATTATTTTAAGTATATTAATTGTTAGTACAATTCAAAACACCGAGTAAACCTGAAATATATACACCCTATTATAGTGTTTGGTATTATCGTATATTATGTTAATTAAACAAAATGCTTCGAAATGAAAATATATAAGTACCTACAAGTTAATTGATACATAGCAATAATCATGACAGGATATCATTTTTTATTTTTTATTATCATAAAATAAATGGTTCGATATCGCATTAACCTATAGAGTTCATTTGAAAATAAATATAAGTAAATAGAAATAGAAAGTTACAATTTGAACCCAAATATATAATTATTATATGGTTAAGATTTAATTTATTGGGTTGAAATTGTGATGTAGACAAGATATAATTTTACTATAAATAGTCGGAATAGCAGAGCACCTAAACATTGATCGAACAATAAATGAATAATCCATAAAAAAAATAGTCTGCACGCCACGTGGGCTTTAAATAATTGTTATCGTATTATTTCAATATGTTGTAGCCTCGTAGACATACATTATATAATATTTTATGTTATAAATTTAATTCTGCGTACGGTAAATCAAAACAGCTCAGAATAATACATAATTTAGTGGGGTATTTTCAGAAAATCTAGAACTATAGGAACTCATCGAATTCGTGCATAGAATAGCTAAGCTAACTAACTATATGCACGAGTATGATATGTGCACATCGACAACAAGGTTAAAATACATTGTTATTACTTTAAACAGTGTGAACATATATTTATAACAAAATGTTAATTTCGATAATAACATTAATGTGTTCGTTTCGGCAAACGTTCATTTGTATAATCTCGTTCATACACACTCTCAAAGACCATGCATCATAATATCATATATAGGTAAACGCATTGCGAAAGGATGTAAAGTCAATCGACAAATTATTATTATTTTTGCACTGTGTGCACAGACATGCTAGAAAATCGTCAGCTGCAGGTGTCCTCCGGCCAAGCGATGGGTTTCGAATTAGATTAAAATACGTCTGATTAATAATTAATAAACGCGATCGTAATATCATTATATTGTACGCGGAGGTAGTATATAGGGTAAACTGAGTAGAGCAGCCTTGAAATATTCTCAGCCCGTCTTTTGCAGTATCAATCGTAGACATAAAATATAATATAGGTAACATGCACGGTAACACGCGCGGTAATTAGGTTAGCCTTACGCGAAATCGTTTAACTTCGATTTTTTTTCCTCTTTTTAAGCCAACGCACTTTTCCGGCCGTAACCGGACGAGTGCTACGAAAGTCACTATCAACAGCCAGGCAGTTTTTATAGAGATTTTAAATCGAAAGGAAGTTGGAAGTCGCGAGCAAACGCGTATGCGTTTTGCAATAAAAAATAATTAAGTCTATGATGTAGATGTAAATCGTTATGCTTATTATGTAAAGTTATTATTATATTTTATACGAGTAAAATATTATATTATTACGATTGCAATAATGTAAAAGCGTAGTGCACACGTAACCGAAATCACATAATTTCTATCTGCGATTGTCGTCGATATAACAATATAAGCTATTGATGATAATACACACTGCAATAGTGAAATTCTATGACCCAATCTCAAAATATTGTCAATACGTTTTAATGTGTCACTCTGAATCTAACAATTTTAAATTTCAAATGCTCAAATCACGAGTAAAGTGTGTGTAAGCAATTGTGAATGGAAATAATTAAATAGTAACAGTACCTATTTATTACATGGTACCTACGTCATTATTCCATAATACTATTATAATAATATCATATTATTTGTATAGGTCTCATTATTGCATACAAAAATTAAACTTACTATGTTGATCAACATTGTTATAATCTTGTATTATTGCATTATACAATACGTGATGGATATAATTCCAATTATTGGTCAGGGGCATTAGTAAAGGACCGAAAATGTGTTTTAAAAAATATTAAACGGTAGGAACTACGCAGGCACGCAGGTACTTGTTGTGATCATTTACCTGTAGCAAACTAATTAATAACGTTATGCTATAGTAGTTGAATTTATACAATATTCTAAGATACGTAATAAGACTTATGAGTTATGACAAATAGAGCACAAAATGTCTATAGCATAAAATGTAAATTAAATATTAATTTGAATAGCCTGAAAAGCATCACGGCACTTATTAATGTAATTCGTTCGAAAATATTATGAAAAAAAAGAGAAAATCAGGAAAACTGTAATTTAGATTCTGATTAATTTGACATCCTCGTTTCCTGGGAGAATAAATAAAGAATATTATAAACATACGCCACCCGAATCGCAGCAATCACGACGTTGTCTGTGTCTGCAGTCTTATTTAATTTCCATAAAATGCAATACAATATAATAATATATCTACTGATCGGTCGTTGCACGTAATAGCCATTGTAATTATTATCTTCTAATGATAATGCATAATATAGGTACATAATAATGATTATTATGATAATATAATTTTGACCTTTGGCGTTTGGCGTTTGGTCTTTAATGGACGTGATCACCGAAATCACTCGTTGTTCACGCACTTGTTCGACAACAAATTCGGTATGGTTCGTGTAGGAGTATATATATACCTCTTTACCTAGCTCGCCACAATATATTTGTTTCTCAATTTAAGACTCGCCCATACTGCACCATTGTACGGACCTTTGCGCCTACACATTTAAAGCCCAAACTTGACTTAATAGATGAATCGTTTTGCCCATCATTTATGAGAATTCCCGCAGGTTGGTGGGGCGATATTACAGCACAAAGCTTTCGGCCGCGAAATGCATTATTAATGGAATTTCGAGAATCCCTCCCCCGCGACACCGCCGTACTTTGATACAACGAAAAACAAGACAATAGGTAATCGTTTTGTAAGGTTTTTTTCCTCAAAATTGTTCTTTCAAAAGCGGATTAATTAATTTCAACACACAATGCGAACCCTGTGATTTGCAATCATTTTCGCTTAAACACCCTCTAAATAAAACGTTTTGACGATTTGCATTTATCACATTGAGACCATTATCCTGTATAATATTGTTTGTTAATAATTGTGTCATACGTAATATTATGAACAAGTGAAACTGTGTCTGAGCAAAATAATATACAACAATTTATTGCAAATATAAATTATTTCTAACGAAGTTTTTACCGACAGTCGGTGTTTTATTATTGCAACATATTATGTTTGTATAATTGCATATATTGTACAACATTCTGAAAGACTTATACTTTTGTTTTACTATTAGGCTATAATATTATACTATTAGGAACTATGAATATCGATGTGATTAAACATTGTCCTGTGTCCATTGCAGACACTGTAAACATAATATAATTTACAGAGTCGAAAAGGGAGAAAGAAAATCCATTTAACATAAGACACTACATATTATTTCAGAAAATAAAAACGTTTTTGAAAATGTTTCTTTTTATAATTTTGAGTTGTTATAAAGCTACATATTTGGAAAAAAATGTATTTTTTATGGTTATCATTAATCATAAACATACTTTTCTGATTTCATATTCCAGAGCAGAATATTATTCGGAGTATTTCGATCTACAAAAATCAAATTTCAGACAAGTAGTCGTAACAGTTATAATTTTATACTAGGTATTAAAAGTTTGGATGAGCGGAGTAGTGGACCAACATTTTGCGGAGTACCTCATAACCCGCACTCACTCATACCTCATCAAAACTTTAAATAGTTCTCTAGTTTCTACTTATAAATCATAAGCTAGATACAAGTCTAAAATGCGTTTTTATGTATCGAAACACTACAAATAATATTCGGATTTGAAAAAATGAATTCAAGTTTTGCACGAATTTTTATTATTATTACATAATTATATCACTAGAAATAATTATTATTATTTCTATCGCATCGCTGCGCCATCACGTCATCACCGTCGTATGTTATTTCGACTACTGTTTCCGGGGGAAACTATTAGCTGCAACCACGCACATCGCAATTCGCAGCGGTAGGTCCGGTATACGGTGCAATGTGGGACAGGAGAGTCGAGGGTAACGTCAAGTCGTTTAAAATATCTATAGAGTTGAACATATTATAATAAAGTAAGCCCACAACACAGTTTTCTCTTACGCCGTCCCCACAATATTATAGGCCTCGACTGCTATCGCAATAGCATTTTAAAGGTTGTCGGAACTTGTATGCGCACATAATATAATATAATAATGTGTATAGCACATTAAACGCAGAAGAGGGTCTAACCAGTCGGCCGACCTACACGCGATAAGTCTCGCGGGTATTTGTTCTTATTCTTAATTTCTTATCGATCAACCGCAGTCCGCAGACGACCGTGGTACATGACGATAACAAATATAACGATAAATCAGTGACCCGCGGTTGGTCACGCGTTCGCGGCTTAAGTTTATAGGTTCAGGTATTTATATACCACGAGGTAACCGCTCGAGTCTTTATAAAGACGTGGGTTTCCGCTACACACTTTCGATTTAATCCTTTGCTGTGATTGCAGGTTAGTTAGGTCAGGTGACCACACGATTAACAACCTTACCACCTTGTTGTTGGACATGGCCGAACATTTTTCGTGTATATATGGCCAATATATATACATATATAATATCTTATATTAAGAGAAGAGATCAGGCCAACAATTTTAATAAAAAAAATGGTCCTGACCGAAGTTTAATTGAATTGTAAGTTATGGAACAATTTTATTTTTGAAAATTATGTTACTATTTTTTTTTTTTTTTTTATTTATTTGAAGAAATCTACAATCTATACATGGTTTTTGTACAATAAGTAGGTTTGGTGAATGACAAGTAAAAAATATAATATGGGTAATTAGATTAGGGAAGATACCCAGTGGTAGCACCCTATTGTTACTATTTAAAGAAATATCCCTGTTACGCTTCTATTGATTGGATCTTGCCAAAAGTGTTTTTTTAGCCATAAAAATAATGGATTTCTTCAATTTACTATTTTGAATTTTTACAACTAAAAATATAATTGCATATTTAAAAAACACTTTTAGTAAGATCCAATGTACAAGAAACAAAACAGAGATTATACTTCTTTAAGTTATAACACCATTTAATAATTGGTCCATATAACTTACATATTTTGTTTGCCTAATTAGACCGCGATAGGGACCATTTTTTTTATTCATATTGGTGGCCTGACCTTCCTCCTTAATCACTATGGGTGCATCGTGCATGACATTATATTATTTTATTATTATCATCATTATGGTGCAAATCAGAAGGGTCCATGCACCGTAGAGTACGTAATGTAGGTACGTGCCTCAGGTATAAAATAAAGTGAAATATACAGGAGCTGGTCGGTCGGACGTTAAGCGGCCCGTCGTTTACGACTTAGATTTGAAAACAATGATGATGAACCCAAAAGCGGTCCTGCACTGCTGATAGGTGGTTCTCGTTCGGGCGAGCTTGTACAAATTGCAACTGGCAATGCTTATTATGGCATAACGATGCATTCGAGCGAATGATTTTAAAATATTGTAATGTGTCTGCCCGGGAAATCTTATTTTTATTACAAAGTAACACACTTGGGCAATATTTTATTATCAATATACTCTAATCAAATTTCCTCGGCTTGGCTGAGTAAAAGTTATACATCAACACCGTCGACGGTCCTGCAATCATTTTTCTTTCACTTTACAACTAATTTATGGTTAACTTTTTAATTAATTTTACAACCAAACTAATACGAGTAGGACCAACCCGTTTTAATGGCTCAGCTTTTTTCAGGTCATTTAAAAAATGAATTTAATCTATAACACTTTAGATAATAATAACCCACTAAATTTTTGTTTATTTAATAATTTAGTTTAAATCAATAATTTAATGTAACATGTACCTATCATATCTAATCTCCTAAACCTATCCAATTATATAGTGCTTGCATTGAGTGGGATGAAAAAATTGTAAATCGTACAATGATCATGTTTGACCCAGGTGCTGGCAGGTAGTTATTTTTCTTAACAATTTTTCGTATCAAAATGTAACCTTTAGAGTAGACGTTCTCGACTGAACTAACTCGAGTTTGTCTTTTGCGTGTCGCCCACTTCGAATTATTACTATTATTATGACTACGTGTGATATGGCGTTATGATATTGTAAATGTGCTCACCGCGGTCGGATCGGTACCTCCAAAGGGGGGCCGGTCATCGTGTCGATGCGTCGGCGTGAGACCACCGGCTGATGGCGGTTCCACTGCTGTGGCTGCGGACGCGGCCGGTGACCCATCAACAGGTAGTCGTGTCGGCGTCGACGGGCCGCGGGCCGCACCGAATAGCCGACCCGGAGCGGCACGTCGAACGAGTCGACCCGGCCACCGGCGGCCGCTCTGCCGACCCAGCGGCCGTCGGCGCCGGCCGCGGGCTTCCAGGTTTTCATGTCCAACGGTATCACCTCGGCCTTGTAATAGCCGCGCCCGGACGACGCGGTTTTCCCGGTGCCGTCGTCGTACGGTCTGTTCATCTGGTCCGCGGTGACCGGTTCGTACCGCATCGGTCCGTACTGAGTGATGATCACGTGCTCGTCGTCCGGGTAACCGAACGCGCCGCGGCCGTCCGGAGGTTTTCCAGTGGCGGCAGTGGCGAGCGCCGACAACGACAACAATAGTAACGCGACCGTCGCTGGGTCCATAGTCGAGCCAAATGACGACGACGACGGTGATTGTGATGATGTGGGTACCGCTGCGGCGACGGTCGACGACACAATGAACGAGCGCAGACAATGAACCGCGGCGGTGACACTGGTCCTGCTCCTGCTCCTGTTCCTGCCGTTGCCGCGACCGCGCGACGATGTCGACAGCGCCTCCTCCGCCAAAACGGTTATGTTATTATACTACTATGACGTTGTTGTACGTATTGTTATCCAGTTATCGTTGGTGTTTCTGCTGTTATTGATGTCGGTGTTGTGTTTATCGCCGCCCAGTCACGAGGCGGCGGACGTTCAAGTCTCGGTCACGGTCCTGCGCGACCTGCAGCGTACATAATGTTATGGGCATAAAATAAATTATGGTAAACTGCGTTAAGTCGATTTTCGATAATCACGCGCAGCAAGACGCGGTATGTTATAGAGGGCAAGGGTTCTTAACCTTTTCTGGTAGCTACATAAATAGATACCAAGTAGGTATAGCTACTGACTCCAATCTCCGTGCCCCATAAAAAAAAAATCCTGACTCATCAGATATGTTAGATAGGCAGTGCCAATTTAATTCAAAAATTGCATTGCCCTGGATACAGGTTGCGGATGTCAATATCACCAAATGGATTAGAATTTTGATGAAAAAAAAAATCTAGATAATATGCCATTTCTTTTGAATCTTAAATCAATTATATTACTATCGGTATATAGTGTTGAAGTTCGCAAGAAAAGTATATTATGCGTGTTCATGTTTTGCGTTTGAACGGATAGAATCTATAAAAATGAAAAATTTATATTATTTATAAAGATGCTAAAGAAAAAATAGACAGTTCAGAAGCTAAATTTTAATTGCAATTTATACTGAGTCATCAAATAGAAGTTTTTGGGTCATTTGAAAAAAAAATCTTAAAATCAATCGGTGGACTACAAGTTTAGGAACCCAACAATTTATAAAATTAAGCATCAAATTCATAGTACAAAAATGAGTTTTCGAATACATATTGTATTCAAATATTTTTTTTATTCGAATACTATTTTAAATACTTTTTAAAAATATTATTCGAAAACATATTCTGAATAATTTGTATTGTATTTTTTTATTTATTAAGAATTTTATTTTGTCAATATTCTATGACAGTAGTTGCTTAAGTTTTTCTACTCACACCATCCTTTCCGAAAGAGGAAATACCTATACACCTAATAATTAGATAATAATATAGCCTGCTGCCATCCGTCTAGAGGGGACGACTAAGTTAGTCGGACTCACTCGAGAACTCTCCCCCCTCACCATCCACCATATTTGTAAACATTCTGGCTATGCCACTGATGATTTGATTTCCACACCATTCGAAACCAAGCGCACTCTGTTTTTTTAAGGATAATATAAATGTCATACTTTGAACTTGGTTGAAAATTGAAAGAACGAGCATAACTATTATTTATTTTTACTAATTTTTAAACTTTAGTATTGATTAGCATATCAATATACGTTTTTGTTATATTTTACAACTATATAAAGTCTGAAGACAATGTAAGACTTATTTCGTTCCATACCTACTTATCTCATAATATACAGTGTGATAAATGTTAATATTATATCATTACATCTATTGTCTGCATAATTAAAGTACCTAAAAATTCTTTGCTTATTTTCTATAATATTATATTAAATGTGTTTAACCATGCGACAATATATCTGTAAAGTATAGCTCATACGCTATTGATGTGCCTTTCGAGCAAATTGTATATGATATGCAAATGTTATGAAAACTCGTATCCATAGCCTAAAGTCATTGGTGTAAAAGAGAAAATTACCTAAGTACCCCGAATATTCCTTCTACGTTTTCAAGAATATTCTTGATTATCACCACGTAATACGTAGGTATTTTGCATCGCTATTATTATAAAACACAAGCATATGCACTAAGTATACGAAATCGTCTCGGCCGACTGATGCTTCTATAGCTCTCCACCGGCCGTTCGATTCGTTTGACTACAATAATATTATTTTGAGCTCGTCGTGACGTCATCGTCGACGTGCAACAGAGTGCACTGCAGATGAGCGCATTCGCTGCCACCGCCGCATTCCGTCTCGTTTTTTTACTATTATTATTATTATTATTACTATTATCATCATATACACACCAGTTATTCAACCCGTTTGCCGTGCATTTGCCGATCGTCGTGTCTTATAATAATAATAAAATGTTGTACACTTGGGAGAGAAACGAACGCGACCACTGCGGCGACGATGCCCACTGATGCAGGCCTGCGCTGCGACGTCAACCGATCCAGGGTTACGAAAACTTGTTGCTGTAGCGCACCTATTCTTACGGTTGACAACACACAGCTTACTGCACATCACGGATTTACGAAAACAATTCGACAAAGAAACGTACAAAAATATGATGATTATTATGAATCAACGATGCGAAAACGTTATGAATTATGATGTATAGTTTGGCGGTTCAACATTTGAGCGATAATAAATCAATTTTTACATACATTTCTTTTAACGAAAGTGTCATCGCGATTGAGAGGGGAGTATGACTTTTTATAACAATATGCTCCATGCGTATGAACCTGCAGTTTCACCGCGTGATATTGTAATATATGTTTGTTGTGAAAGACGCTTAGATTGTGTGAATCTAATAAAATGAAAAAAGATATTCACAACCTCGGCGGACAATTATGGACATGTACGTACTTACCGCGGTCAAATTTTATTTTTATTTCAAGTTAAAATTTATTTTAATATAATATTGTAATACCACGACGTTGTATTATACTATTTTGTTTGAACACTTTTTTCTTCTAAAATATGCACAACATCGTGTTAAAAGAGTCTCGTTATTCTTTGACAAAAACATTTTTACTTTATTCTATATTTTAAATTTACCTACCTCATCTACTGGTTACATACAAAGTTACTTTACAAAAGCGAAAGTCTGCTGGCGAATAATTTAAACGAATTACCTAAACATTTAAAATTAAGTTAAAACGTTAAATTAATTGTAATCCAACTACACAGGTAAATAACGCGTTACTTATTTTTGTTATGACATGGAACACAGTCCACAGGTATAATCAACTCATGTCTAATGAGTTTCTTTTTGTGCTGAAAAAAAACTGTTAACATGATTTACATAGGTATACTACTACATTATAAATTACCACCACAAATGCCAAGTATAATAGTAGGTGCATCGTACATGTACCAGTTCTAGCCTTCTGGGGCAGTACAGTATGTCTTCATATGCATATTTTATTATACAGGTAGGTAAGTATCTACTACCTACGTATCAAATTTTGCTAAAAACGATAATAATAAATTGTTTATTATTACCTGCGGCAAGTATAGACAAACAAATCGTATCCCCCAGCTCCACTCGAAATTAGTGTTCAATATATATACATACATTTATATGTATATATTGTTCTTAAGCACGGCAATTATAGCCATTAGCTGTTTGTAGGTTTAGTAGGTTTGTTACTGTGGGTTGGTTAAAACACGTGTATGTGTGGTGAAGATTTGTCACTAAAAACCCGGGTCTTCACCCATCCAAAAACTAATGACATCGGTGGATGCTTGCATTCAGAAAACGTTTGCAGGTGACTGAATACAACCGCTGGGTCATGCCAGGCCATTAATTCGATATAATTAAGCAGAGAACAACACAAAATACCTTTTTTGGGGGTTTGGTTATCGACACCGAACGAAATGATTGAATTATAGGTATATCCCTCGATGGTTAATATATATATATGTATTAGTATTTAGTAATATTATATTATAATGATATTATGAATTAATAAACATGCACAATGCACCGTTTTTGCAAGTACAATAAACATACTACCTAACTGCATTTTACACATCTATTTTCACCTCAACAAAAAGTTTTTAAAAAAAGAATATATTGTTTGTCAAATACTATGTCTGTACTATATTGTACTTTGCTATACTATCGCTACAAGCAGCAAATATTTGTCTAGTATCTTTACTAGCCAGAGTGGAATCAGCATAATAATTCGTATCTATATAGGTATAAGTACTCTAAACAGTCATAACAGTTTTAGTGAATTGGGATGTATAAGAGCACTTTCGATTTCGATTTTCAAGTCGTACTCTACAAATCAATATACAGAGTGGACCCCAATATTCACACACTATTCATTTTTATTGAAAAATATTATTATCTACATTCTTAGACAGTAACATTTTTTTGAAAGAAAAATTGTATACTCTCAGTGTGAATCACTCAAAACTTACTATGTATAATATTATTTTATAAAAAAATAAAATATGAACAATACAGTGCCCAGCGTTATCAAGAATTGCAGTAGGACAGTTTATTTCAAATTGGGCCACACAACATTATATTACCATGACATTAAGGCGCGTTCACACCTGAGCACGCTCAAGATGAGCACCGTTCACCCGCCGATTTCCTTTGAGCATGGCCAGGAGACCGACAGTCGGTGGCTCGTGCTGAGCATGGATCGTGATCATGTTTGCGTGGTCTGAATCTGCTCACTTTACCGTCCACAGACAAATTCATCGTAAACGATTTAATTTGAGCATGTATGCTCACCCTGAACACGCCTTTAGATACCTTCTTTGTACCTGGTGTGTTTAACGATTTATATTCTACTGGTAAGAGTCTAAAACAATAGTGAGAGTACATGTAGATTAACTCATAAAAGTATAAAACTAAAGCTTTATTACCATAGCAGTACCTGTACACAAATGTGTTTATAGTGACACTGTTAAATAGTAGGTAAATAAAAGAAATAATAAAGGAATCGTAATATCATATTCGTATTATTATTTTACTTTTTTTGATTGAATCGTTGGTAAAAAAAAAAATCTAATATGAGCATAAATATCAAGTATAATATGAGTTAAACTGTACATACTAGCTTATTGGCTATTAGAATCCATCACTTACACATTAATAGAACGATTGTTGCCTATAGCAAATTATTTTACTTGCAGTGGATATCAACGATCAATCTTGGAAAAAAATACGTGATACAATAATCTTATTTATAAATATGGTGGATACAGGGTACTGGGTAAGAGGTAGGATACAAGCACAATCATAAAAACAAAACATTTAAATATTGTAGTCAATATATTTGA